TAATTTAAACATTTTTTAAAAGTTTATATAAAGTATTTCAAAAGTTAATTAATTAATGAATAAAAATAATTGGTTATTGGTTTAATCCTTTTTTTAAATCCTTTTTTGAATCTTACTTTAAATACCATTAGTAATTAACGTACCATTAAGGTACGTTAAAATCGAGTTTTTTTATATTTCAATTTCTATGAAAAATATAAAATATAACCAATTCATTATGATTTAAAAAAAAACTGCAATATCAACATATAGTTTATTTTATGTTGATTTTGACTTTGATATTTTTCAAATAATATAATAAATATTCATTATTAAGAAAATTAATAAACTCATTAAAATTCAATTAGGATATATACAAAATCCTCTGAACCTTCACGAAGGGATAATATTGGAACCTCGTTATCGCCTATGTCATCTTTTACCCATGCCGAACAATTTGAAGAAAGTGTTATGGTACCCATACCGTCAATTACACCTCCAGACTTTCCAGGGTATGGATTCTTTTTGTATATTTATATAAAATTTGAAATATATATCGACAGAAGTGCTTATGAAAACTGTATTAACTATTTAATAATGTTATGATAAATAATTAATTGCATTGGTTAGTTACCTTAATTGCTCTTCCATTAATGTTCATTTATTAAGAGAACATGACGTTGTCTGTACACGAACACGAATCTTTTAGCTAAGTATATTTTGTTGAAAATAAAAATTAGCGATTAATACCCTTCAAATTTCAAAATAGGCATTTTTGTAGATAAAACCATCGTTTTCATTTTTTTCTTGAATATTGCTGCTCCAATATATAATTTTTTTATTCAACTTTTTATCAGCAAGTATTTCACTCATTTGGTTTACAAACTTACATTGGTTATTTCTGCAATTGATGACACAATTTAGATTTAACACCTCATGAGGTTTTCAGGCAAATGAGTAGTGATAGTTAACCTAGCTAACATTAACTATGTTTTTTTTTCTTAAGTTAGAGATAGTATAGGTGATTAAATAAATTGTCCTTTTCATTAGCTCAACATCATTATTTTAAACCTCAAAAATGATATATATTGAAACTTCAAATCAATGTAGCATTAGCATCTGCAAATTCGACCAACGTTATCCACCATGGTGTTCTGCAGATCTGCAGATAATCGATTGCAAAATCATATCTTAATATTTAAACAATTATATTTCAGATATCTAAAATTGCATTACAATAGAATAATAATATTATTATTTAATAGAAACCACCATAATGGATGTTCTCCGAAAGATCTATCATTGATCGAGCAATTTGTTAAATTGGACGCAGATGTTAGAAAAATGGAACGAGAACGTAAACGACCTAAATATCAGCATCACATTTTAAGTCCGCTAGCTCGGGATCCTGAAGCGAACAAATCCAGCCGAAAAAATCCTGACGACGATAAAGATATATTAAAGCAAGCAAAGTAAAACTGAAAAATTAATAAAATATTATATCATTTCTATTATACAATAATTACGTTTTAATTTAAGTTCCTCTTACTTAAAACTGTAGTGAAGATCTTGACATTGTATATGGTTGTCATTAAATATTATTAATATATTAAAAAACATTTCAGTTCAACGAAAATATTTGAAAGAAGTAGATATATATAGTATAGACCTTATTTCAGAATAACAATAATTCTTGTAAGCTAAGTCTTACAAGACTCCTACATCCGCGGAAGCTTTTCTTTAGAGATGGAATTGTTTTTGAGGCGCATTCAAATTGAGTTTATAAAAAAACTAGCAAATATCACTGCAAATGTTATTTCTCAACATACCGTTATGGCATCATGTATACTTAGAATATATGGGCTTCCTTAATCCTTACTTTGTGTTTTACCATAAAATGTATTTAGGTATACATTCATTTTATTATAGCCAAAGCAAATTTAGTAATAATGATGGTCTAACAATTGTGATTAAAGAGGAAAACAGGTTAACTATTATCCAAAAAAGATCACATATCAATAATTGGGTAAATGGTTAAGCGGAACAACAATTGTCTTTAAAAAGAGAATTACAAAACAATTTTAATCTAAATGCTTCATATTTTCCTCGCTTTTTATGTCAATCGAACAATATAGAAAAATATGGAAAAATGTTGTACAAAATAAACTTGTAGCGCATTTGTGTTTTTAGAATAAAAATTCAAAAAATAATCAAAAACATTAATTTAATTTCATTATAATTAAGACACCATTTTTAACTTCCCGAAGGATAAGTTTGTGTTCTCGAAATTTCAAGTCATTCTGAATCGTTTCACACCAAAATTGAAAAAAATATGTGTGTGTGCGCCAAAGTTTGATCTTCTGTCGATAATCTCTTTCACCAACGATCAGCTGAGCAGTTACAATTACCAGAATAGTGCTCAGTCGATTTTCAAACTTTAAAAACAGTTCGAAACCTATTAGCTAGAAATCGTGTTGATTTTTTTAGGTAAAGATCGGCCGGGCCGAAATTTTTTTGACAATTTTGATAAAACATTTTATGATGCTTAGTTTAGTTCTTCCGAAAAGTGGTTTGAATGGTTTAAAAAACATTCTTTGAATGTTTTTTGAATCATCTAACTCGGACGCTTAGTTCTCTCAAAAACTGTCATTTTTGCACATTTAGCTCTGTATCTCCGAAACCGCTGAACCTGCCTTTGCCAACAACTAATCACCCGTCTTTGCCGTTTTCCCCGTCATTGCGAATTGAATGTTTTTTGGATCATTCAAATCCGATACTCCGTTCTCTCAAAAACTCAATTTCTATTTTCTGCACTTTTTACTCGATATCTCCGAATCGGCTAGACCTGCCTTTGCCAAAAACTAATCAGCACATCTCCCTATCAATAGGAATCGAATGTTTTTTGAACCATTCAAATTGGTTGATCCGTGCACCCGAAAACGTGGAAGAAAAATTGTATCCATACAAACATACACACACGCACACAACCATTTTTTCTGAGGTATGCCAAAATGTTCAAAAACCTTCAAAACGAGAAAAAATGTAAAAATTTTCAATTCCGATTCTTAGACGATTACAATAACTTACACTACGGGAAGTTAAAAAAATGTTTACAATAATTAAAATAAAATAAATATAATAATTTTTTTTCAAAAAGTTAAAAATTTATGTTTATGTTATGTTTTATCAATGCCGAAATTGTTTTTAAATATTTAATTTATTTTTAATGTCAAATGTTTATTCAAATTGATTTCTAAAGGGTTAATATTCATTCAATTTCATTTACTTTGAGTTCCCCGAAAATTCATACAGCAAAAATTATTGTAGAAAAGGTTGACAAACACTGTTTCAATAGATCAGCCATTGTTATTGTTGTGTTTTGACAGTATCACATAAGGCCTTTATTTTTAAGTACATAATTTTAGCTAATTTTTATCTAATTTAAAACAATTATTTGTGGAAAAATGTGGAAAAACGTTCAAATAAACGGTGATTCTTATCTAGTCAAACATGAATATTCTCAATTTACATATAACCTGCATATTACTAATCTTATGAATTTATGGCATGAAACAATTAGCACTGAATCTATTATAAAACGATGTCGGGTAAGATGGCCTACATAAATCTGCACAAAGTGAATTTTAAAACCATCATCTTGATAAACATTATAAATTATTCTAGGATATGAATAAATTTTTGGAAGCAGATGACAAAACTTTTATCGATAAAATCTTTCAACTGCTTTATGATGATCAAGCTGAAAAATTATTAACTTTTTGTCCAACAAATGAAACTGGCTCTCTAATTTTAAAAACGAATATGGATGGAATTAACTTTCACTTCAAGTTTGAATTATTATTAGCAAGCTCTAAAATTGTAAATATTCATCATTCATAATTTTATTATGCTATGTTTTATTTTTTGCATATTATCATTATTTTAAACCAATACAGTTGTTTCAAGAAGTCACAGCAAATTTATTAGTAAAAATACAAAACTTGAAGAATGCTCAAGAAAATTTAATAGAAGTAATTCACCGAAAGGATGTTGAAATTGATCAATACAAGATTGAAGGATATGTTTTGTCACGCAGTACGTATTTTAAAACTTTGCTTTGTGGTCAAAATTTTTTATTAAAGATTTATCGTTTTGAGTGAGATCTTATCAATTGCTCTAGTAAATTTTAAATAATATTGAATTGCTCCAAAGCTTAAATGTGTTATTTATGTAACATTCTTTGAAATTCATTAATTTTTTTATCATTAATTTATCACAAATTCTTATAGAAGCTATGATATTATCATATTTTTCATATAATTCATATTCAATTAGAAAACATAGGTATTTACAAAATGTTTGATTAGAACTTGTGGAGACTGAAAAATTTGTTGATGAAGAATTCAAAAAGCAATATATTATCGAATCATGGCCATCATGTATTAAAAATACCTTGGAAGATGTCTTTGAAAACAACGGTGGGATCAATAAATTTATTGAAAAAAATCTTGGTGTGGAATTAGACATAAAACCAAAGTACATGATAGTATTTTACATTTTGTAACTAAATTAATTTAATTTCATAATGAACACATTTGTTTTTCAGGAATAATTTGAAAGCTTCATTGAACAACAAACATCCATTGCGAGGTGTTAAGAAATTCAATCGAAGAAGAATATATGCCAAACATTTATCTCCTACTAAATTGAAATATGATAGTCTAATTAAAGATCCAGAAGATGATGTACCTTCAATACAGGTTAAGATTGAAGATGGTTTACCACAATAAAGGAAAGAAGAGCAGTTAAGAAATATTTTAAATGAATCAAATTATATATTATATATATATATATATATATATATATATATATATTGGTATATTTTAATGTAAATTTTAATTTATTTATTATTTTCTTTAATACACTTTTAATCTTTTACTCAATTAATCAAAATATTATTCAATGAAAAAGCATTTGAGGTGTTATCTCACCTCATCTTCGGACAGAGCATTTTGTTATTATTAGGTTGTATCTAAACCTGCAGTAGTGCTTATAGCAATTAATATGCTGTGTGGCAACGGATAGATTCCTGATATTGTCAGTATATTATCCTTTTCAATTTGACTTTCTGAGGCAAAGAGCCTAAAAATAATTGACATATAGCTTTGATTTTAGATACTCCTTAAAATACTTACACCAAAATATCTTCTGGTTCAGTTAGTATTTCTGTGCTATTTAGTTCAGTCAAATAGTATGCAAAAGATTTTGTACCCAAATTTGCAGTAACTGGTTCCTAAAAATGTTGCAATAGTATATTAAAAATTTCTTACCAAGACATTATATATACATGCATGAGTATTACTTTATAATTGGATCTTGGCCCAGTATGTCTTACTCCCCAAATGCTTATGCACTGGTTTTCACAAACGCAGATTGTATAATTTGGACCACATTCTACATGCTAATTTAATAATATACAAGTACATTAGTTTTACTTAATAGTATTTCTACAAAAATCTCACAATCAGTTATTTAAAATTACCGTTATAAATCTATCACTTATATTTTTCACCAGAACTGGTTTTTGTTTATTTATTTTTCCAACACTACCAATACCTAATTGGCCATTTTTATTTTCTCCAAACATAATAACATAGCCACCTTCCACAATCATTGCTGTGTGAGCTTCACCAAATGATACATAATTAACTTTGTAATCAACATTTATTACTTCCTGAAATATAATAAAACTAATTAAATTATATCCAAATACTATTCATTAAAATTTAATTATGCGTATTGTCTATTTTTAAATTTTCATAATAAATTCCATAATTTATAATAAAAAATTATAATATAATCACAGGTATTAAAATTTTATCCACGTTAGAATTTAAAATCCCAATTTTATAAGCAGTGTTGCAGCCACATATCATAACAGTTCCGTTTGATAAAAGAAAGGCTGAAACTTGGTAGCCACAAAATATATTTTCAATTTTTTCCTGATTGAGATCTAACTGGATTTTAATAGGTGTATATCTGTAATAGGGATTATTTGGCATTATTATTTAATGGATGACCAATATTATCAAACTCGCCTATTCATTTCGTCTCCAGATCCTAACGCACCACCAAAACCTTTGCCCCAAGTGAATATATTATTATTATTATCTAAGGCAACAACATGATGTGGCCCATTTTTTATGATAACTATATTTTCGAGGTCTGAAAATGTAATTTAAATGTACTACGTATCTATTATATTTGCTATTTACAGAATTTCATTTACTAATTAATGTCGGTAAAACATAATTTTGTGGATCTCCTAAACCTAAACAGCCAAATGAACCACTACCGCAGCTATAAAGGTGACCAGTATTTGTTAAAAATATACTGAAATCGCAACCTGCACAAGCACTGAAATAATAAAAATAATACTATTAAAATAACAGATATAAGTAGATATGAAAGAATTATAAGTTATATGTACTTATTTATCTTGAGAGAATCAAATGCCTTGACAATATGTGGATATTGATTCCATGTAGATGTTTCTCCATGTCCTAATTGCCCATACGAATTTTTACCCCATGAATAACACATTCCATCTAGTTTTTTATGTAAATATGATATATAAAAACACTATATTTTGTATAATTAATTTAAAATATAAATAATTAGGATATTGTTACCTTCTGTTACCAAAATAAAATGTGTTGTGCTAACAGAAACTGCTTTTATTTGAATTGCAGCTGGCAAAGGTATGGGTTTTAGTATTGTATTATTTCTGCAGGATTTTAGTTGATATAAAATTGATCTATTGTGAAAATATAATTAAATTTGGGTTATAAGCTCAATATATATTTGTGAAAGAAACCTTTTTCTGGAGCTTGGTAAAATGTCATCTTTACTTAACATGGGAAGTGGGGTGCCAACATAAACATGTCCTTCATTTCCTAATTTTTTATAAACTTGAGGTATTAAATTATAGAATGTTTCTGAGGCAGATGCTCTTTTGGCAATGTCTACTTCTAACAGTCCTTTAACTAAGTTAGTTAACTCGGGGCTATATCCAGAAGGCAAGTCTTCGAACTCTCCCTAAAATAAATTTGTAAATCAGATATATAATTAATCACTTCTACAACTATTTATTTTAATTCGTACCTTCATAATTTGCGCAACCAGTGCTGGCAAGCTGGTTGCCTTAAATGGTTTCTGATAAGTAGCCATTTCATAAAGTATGCATCCCAATGCCCATATATCTGATTTTTCATCATACACATTTCCTTCACACTATTTAAATATTTAAGTATAAATAAATATATATATGTATATATATGTATATATATATATATATATACTCGTATATATATATATATATACACTGGGGCCTCGCTTTACGGCCTAGATACGTTCCGCAAAACTTGGCCGTAAAGTGAAAAGCCGTATAACGAATCAATTATTCTAATACGTATTCATACAAATTCAATGGGATCGGTTCCAAATTTAATAAATATATAATATGGTTTCATCCAAAATGCATTTTATTTTTTTATTTTGTTTAAATTATAAACATATCTAACAAGAACGTAAATTTTACATAAAATAAAAAACTTCAAAAACATTACATAATTTTCAAATAAAAATGAAACAACTAAAACCTACAGATCACTGTCACCATCATTTTGCGGTGGTGGTTTCAAAAATTTGCCTAAAGTTGTTTGTTTAGCCTTCTTGTCTATTTCTTCCTTTAGTGATTTATAACAGTTAATGGCTGAGTTAATTCCTCGAGACACATTAACGCTACGTTCGATGTCAGGATCGTTTTCAAGGAAGATGTTTATACCTTGTTCAAAATATGAAAAAGCGCTCGACATGATTTTTGATGTTAGCTGTTTGGATACAACAGGTTCTGTATCTTCATCAATTGCCGGCTCTGCTTGCAACTGAATGAGTTCCTCATATGAAAGGGGTTCCCTATCAGTTGCAAGTAGATCCAGCACATCAGATTCGTTTAAATCTTCAAAACCGAGATTGCGCAATATATCGACATAGAGAAAAAAAGCCGTTATAGCGAAACATTTTAGGCCGTATATCGAAAACGTACCTTAATTAAAGAGGGCCGTTATAGCGAAAGGCCGTATAAAGAGCGGCCGTATAGCGAGGCCTGGGTGTATATATATATATATATATATATATATATATATATTAGGGTCGTCCTTAAAATGGTCATTTTCGAATTTCCTTGCTCCCAGGGGCTCAAATGGTTCCAAATAGATAAAAAACAATTCTCTGAAAGTTTTAGCTCTTAATATTATAGTTTAGATAGAGCGCAATTCAATCAAAGTTTTGTATGGAAATAGCATGGAAAAATTTTCAAAAATTTTAAAAATGTTTTTTATATGTAATTTAGCGAACAAATGAATGAATAATATTCATTCATTTGTCGCTAAGTTATACCTAAAACATTTTTTTTAAATTTTCAAAATATTTTCCATGCTCTTTCCATACAAACTTTGATTGAATTGCGCTCTATCTAAACGTTAATATTAAGAGCTAAAACTTTTAGAGAATTGTTTTTTATCTATTTGGAACCATTTGAGCCCCTGGGAGCAAGGAAATTCGAAAATGACCATTTTAAGGACCACCCTAATATATATGTATATATATATATATATATATATATATATAATATACATATATTTATAGCCATAAATTCACCATTTCTGGGCTCATGTAGTAAGGCGTACCAAGTACAGTTTGCGCATAAGCTTTAGTGAGCATTAATTTTGATATTCCAAAATCTCCCACTTTCACCGTTCCATCTTTATTAAGAAAAATATTGGCAGACTTTAAATCTCTGAAATATAAAAAATAGCTTTAGCAAATATTGAAACTAATATTAAAATACTGCTAGAGTAAATTTATATAAATGTATGGTTTTAAGTTTGGAACTATTAATATAAGCTAATAATTACAAAGTTTAAATTTAATAATGCAATTTAAAATATATTTATTGGAAGAAATATTATTTTATTCCAATATTTTCTCTTCGATAGTTTTCCAGCACAAAAATATTAATATTATGAAGAAAAATATTTCAAAAATTATTGGAAAAGAGCAAATATAATATATATATATACTTGTTTTGTTCTTTAAATGAAATTCAGTTACTTTACGTTTATTCAAGCTTGTGGAAATAAATGTCATTAAATATTTTATAATAAACAAGTTGAAAAATGTATGACCAATAATAATAAAATAGAAATAACATGTACCTACTCTTAAATCATGCACTGCTCACATACATAATAATATTCAGATATATTATGTATAGTTAAACTTTCTATAATATTTCTAAAATTAAAAAATAGAAATAAGTTTACCTATGTAAAATTGAATTTGCATGCATATACAATAATGCACTTGTAATCTGAGAAAGCAAATGCAAAATTGTTCTCTCGGGTAATCTGCTGTTTTGTTGTAGAAGCATTTGGGACAAGGTGCCTCCGTTAGCATATTCCATTTCAATTAACAATACATCATCAAGTTTTTGACTATTATAGTAGCTACAGAAAATACATTCATAACATTATTCATTATTGAGCAATCATTAAACATTTATTCTAAAGCTGCTTATAAATACCTAATTATATTGGGATGATTCATAGCTGCTAATATTTGTACTTCATTTAAAGCATTTGCATGCTCCTGAGCTTCTAATTCACATAATAGTATTTCCTTCACTACTACCAATTTTTTGTTAGGCTTTTCATACAAAGTCGCAGTACCAAAAGCACCTGTGCAGTTAAAAAATAACAATTTTACACATCCCAAAGGGACTATGTTATTGATAATATCTTTATACCTTTTCCCACAATCTTTATTTTGCGATAATTTTCCAAACATATATCACTATCCATCTTTACATTGTTTTTGACATTTGTTAAATTTTATACAAATGTATTCGAACACATATATGTAAATAAAGATTGGTTTCCTTGGTAACACAAACCAAACATTTAAGATGAGATTAGAAATATATATATATTATTTCATGTTTTATATATACATAAGTTTAATAATATGACATTCAATGTACTTTAATTCATATATTTTATATATTCATATATTTAATATTATGGCATTCAATTTTGTACTCTAATAAATTATTCAATTATCATTTCAAAGGATTCCACATCTTTGACCATTGCATTGAATTCTCTCTCCCATTTTTTTGACTCAACCCACTGAAAAGAGACAAAATTTTTATTAAACTTGCTTTAATTTTCTTAAAATTATGGTATTGCTCAAAAATCATATTTATTACAAAAAATAGAGATCTCAAAGTTTGACCATAAAACTTGAATCGTTTTTGCATTATTTAGCTATCCTAATCAATTCTTAAAGGTGTTTTTTCTAGTACACAATTAAAAATTGTGAATATATTTGATTATTGGTACAATCAAAATTATTACTAAATTTTTTCATATTATTTATTAGATAATATTAATATTTCTTCCTAAAAGTACTATAGGTTTTTTATGATTCACATTTTCTTCTATTTTCTATCACTACTAAACTATTTGCCATATATTGCCTACAACTCTACATAAGACAATATTTGATGATTTCATGTGATTTTTTATATATATATTTATACTGATGATGAGATGAGATGAAATAAACCATAATCACAAACATAATAACTTAATAATTGGCATTTATGAAATAAAGAAATGTATGTAAATTCAAATAAATTACCTCCTCTGTTGTTAATTTAATTGCTTTACTTTTATGTGTCTTTGGCTGAAACATTTTTAATTTACTCTTTTTCGTTGGAGATACTTCATCACATTGAAAATTCTGAAATGAAAATTTATAATAAATTAATTATCATTGAATAAATTCAATTTGAATCAGAGCAGAATGCCAATACCTCAGGTAGTTTCAGCGAGACATTGAATTCCTCAGGATCGTCAAATAATATAGGGCGAAGCTGGTTTTCATCAGAATTATTTACATTTTCTGATTCCAAACTCATATCAACATTTATTTTTTCGGAAATTATGGATTGATTATCTGTCTCTGATAATGTTGTAACTTTATTTAGTACATTTTGAGTATTTAGATTCTGATGACCTGCAATTTTTTTCTGCTTTTTTGCATAATGAATTACATTTTTAATTTCTCTTAAAGAAACTCTAGTTGTTCTAGGCACATTTTCATTAACTTCCTTCAAAACATTTACATCTTCATTTATAGAATCAAAGCCAAATATATTTTTGATACTATCCGGATTATTTTCTTTATCGAAAGATTTACCTTTAGTTTGATTTCTATTTTCTTCATTTATAGAATCAAAGCTAAATATATTATTGATACTATCCGGATTATTTTCTTTATCGAAAGATTTACTTTTAGAAACATTAATTTGATTTCTATTTTCTTCGCAATTATTTGCTATTACTTCTTCATTCAATATTTCATTCTCAATACTTTCTTCATTTTCATTTACAGAAGAATTGCTCATTATTAGACTTTTTTGTGGATTCAATAAGTTCTGAGTCTTCAAAATATAATTATCATGTGCTGTAAAGTCATCTTCAAATAATTTAACTGGTGAAATTTTTTGTGGAAGACTTGTCTTTAATGTTTCTGATCCTAATGTAGAAAATCTTAATGATGTATCTTTTTGGTAATTAGGCAACAATGATTTTTTAACAGGAAAATTTGCAGGTAATCTATTACTTTCAAAACCCATTACTCTCCAAGGAGTATTATAAGCATTTTCTGTTTTTGAATTATTATTTATGGGTGAACCAAAATTCACGGATTCATGCAGGTTTTTTCTCATGTTTTTCATATTTGATATGGGTGTAGAAATCATAGGCCAGACATCACTCAGAGTATCAATATCGTCCAAATCATTGTGAGAGTGGTCATCCATGTCTATCTCATTGACAGATTGGATCTCTTTATTTGTGTGCATATTTTCATTGATTTCAATACTATTTTCATATCCTCCAGGGCTATAATTATCGGTCTCTGTTTGTTTTCCCATACTACTTAGTTCAAGCATTTTTTCTGTACCAATAACTTTTTTAGTACTATCCTCAGTTTGCAATTTTTTATTGTTAAAATTGTTCCTAATTTTATTAAGAACTTCAACTACTTTTTTATTTTCTGGTAATGGTTGATTAGATTTTATGCATTTCTTTGGTTTTTGTGTTCTGTGTTGTATAGTTTTTTTCAATTTAAAGCCATCACGAGTTTTCTTAAATGCTTTTAAAGGCTCATTAGATACATCTAAATCATACAAGTGATCAATTTGGCGTGTTATTCGCCTGGAACTTGTAATATTATTACTTATATTTTTTTTATAAACTGGTGTTTTATTGGAAATGGCATTAGAAAATTGCACTGGTTCAGAAGTTATAGATATATTAACCAAAGGTATTGAAAAATCTAAAGTATTAAATTTTTTATTACTTTTACTTACAGTATCTTCTTTAGAAATATTGTTTTTTGAAACACTTGCACATTTTTTATTTGTAGCATTAGGTGTTTCATGATTTTTATGTGAAATATTTTTATCTATTTTTAAATTATCACTTGAAGATTTTTTATTTTCTATAGAATCCTTAGTTTTATTTTCAGAAAGCTTAATGTTAGTTTTCACTATGTTCATAGGTACATTTTTATTCATTGTTTTTATTTTGTTTGAATTTTTGTTATTTCTAGTTATTCTTACTGTATCATTTACAACTGGTTGATTAACATTTTCAGAACAGGCATTTTCTTTTGAATTATTAATATTTTGAGAAAACTTAGATTTAGTTTTTTTACTTCCAATTGTTGTCGCTGCCTCTTTTTCTATGACATTTATTTCATCAAGCACTTCTTTCTGATCATTCGCAATAGTGATTTTAACTTCCTGTGCGGAAAGAGCAGCATTATTCCTTTTTGAATACCTGGAAACTCGGTCAATACCTAAATTATTGTTCGCGGCTTTATTTCTACCATCTGGTTTTAAGACAGCATGCTGTTCTAATTTTGTATTTGAGCTGTTATTTTCATCATCGTCATTTAAAATTTTCTGATTTTTTATTGGTACGGTTTTGATAGTATTTTCTAAAATAGCTTGGTGTTTACTCTTTCTTGTGTCTTTTACACATGCATTCTTATTAGTACTTTTTATTTCATCAATATTAATAAGTTTATTTCTACCTATTAAAGATGAGTTATTAATCAATTGGCCCTGAGATTTGTTTCTGCTATCATTTGCTTTTTTCAACACGTTTGATACCAAACTTTCTATCGCTTTAGACTTTCTCGCTGAAGGTTTCTTTGAATCAGTTAATTGTTTAGCTCTTCGAGAAGCGGTAGTATTATGAGTTATTGTCTTTGCATTGCTTCTTGTAATTCTTCCCATCATGCATTTGTTATCACCCTGAAAATTAATTAATGAAAACACAAGAAAACGTTTGTTTACAAATTTTAACGAATCGAAATGTCAAATGTCCAAACAGTATACAGAGATAAGTTTTGTAACGACTTAAGTCCCCTCTACCATGATCAAAGTTAATAACGGTCCCAGAGATTTTGTATTGAATACGGTAACACTAATATTTGCCAAGTAATACGCTGGCACACACATGGATACAAGAAGTGTATTGTCTAACTAATTCAAGTTTTGAAAATATTAATATTAAATATGAAGATAAAAATTATGGCCAATGGCAGTTTGATACACATATAAGTATGCATAGTAAATACCAAAAATAGATAATACCGATTTCTGTTAGTGTATGACGGGGGGTTTTTATTTGCTTCGTTCATTCTTAAGAATTAAATTTCAATGTTTTTTTAATATAAAAAATACGTAATACTCTTATAAAATAATTATATCTCTTAACATAATATGAAGTATTTATGTATGACGGAGTACTTTTATTTGCTTCGTTTATTTTCAAAAATCAAATTTATCTGTTTTTTAATATAAAAAATTACGCAAAACTTTCATTAAGCAATATAAAATATCTATATCTCTTAACATAATATGAAGATTGGTATTGGTACACATAAAAAAATAAATCAATTAGTTAAAAGTTAAATAATAAAATTATGTAGTTAATAGGTTTTGCTACTGCTTTAAAATAGTTCTTTTCTTCTTTAGTTTTTTGCTAAAATTGCTCTTTGCCTGCCAAAACCATTTATGAACTATGTGTGTACATCGGGAAATATTTATACAACGGGATAACTCTCGATAATCCTTATGAAACGCATCTAGTTTTATCGATGGTAACCCTAGACAATATACTAATATGGATGGTAACCTTTCAATCGCCAATATCTGAGAACTGTTTTAAAATGTTTGAACCGATAAAGCGGATAAATTTAAGCTTTTTTATAAGCTCAGAAAAACTTATTTTAAATTAAGTGAAAAACGTTCACAGAAAATACAATAATTGATCAGTTGCCGAGCTAAATAAAAAATCATTGGACTATTGAAAAGGCTACTATGAAATAGGAATGGTAGATTGCAGTTGTTTGAAATTTTTAATTCTGCACTTTAAAAAATTTTAATTGATAGTAAATTGGTCTCAAAACTTTCAAAAAGTGTTAGAGGTGGACAACCTTTCATAAATTATTTTTATTAGCAGCAAATTCTCAGAAAAATTTCAAAATTCTCAAAATTTTCGTTAAATTCATAAAACTAATTTTAAAGTTTCCTAATTTAAGAAAATCTTAATTAAAACTTTGTGAAACACATTTACTGACTGAAAGGCGGTGTGAAAGATGATCCGATTACTGAAATGACAATTATGAAATCGGTATTTGCGGTAAGACGGAAATTTAGATAAATGTTATTTTTAAATCCGCGTCATAAAAAATTGAAATTAAAAAACGATCTCAAAATTAAAAAGAAGTATTAGAAAAGGACACCCCTTGATGAAAATAAATAGTTTTATTAGACAAAATTAAGTTTTTATATGAATTTCAGTGCTGAACATTCACTGACTAGAAGCGAAAAAAAGAAGGTAGAAATTAAGGGTTGTATGTGCCTTTTAATTAAAAATTTTTAAAATATATATTTTTTAAACTAATTCTAATGTATATATGATGACACGAGTATTAAAACGTATAATTAATAAACAATGTTTTACTTTTAACTTTTTATTTGATAAATGTGCTGCCAATTATTAACTTCCCTTAAGGTAAATTATTGTAATCGTCCAAAAATCGATATTATTTTTTTTACGTTTTGAAGGTTTCTGAACATTTTGGCATACTTCTGCATACTTCAGAAAAAATGGGTGTGTGTGTATGTATGTATGGATTCAATTTTTTGTCCACGTTTTCGAACGCACGGATCAACTGATTTGAATGGTTCAAAAAATTTTGATTCCTATTGATAGGAAAAGGTGCTGATTAGTTTTTGACAAATACAGGTCCAGCCGTTATGGAGATACGGAGCTAAATGTACAAAAAATGGCAGTTTTTGAGAGAAATAGGCATCCTAATTGAATGATTCAAAAAACTTTCTGCTTGTGGTGATAAAACAATTGCTTTTGGCAACAAAAAATATTATTTCAATTTTTTTTTCAATTTTTTTTTTGTATATCGAAAATAATTCAATTTCGATTTTAATTTTGGCTAAAGTTTTAAAGCTCACTTATATACTTTAAATAAATATTTTTGACTTTGTGATTCAGTTTAGATAATTCTTAGAAATATAAGTGAGCTTTAAATGCTTCTAATATTTTGTTACGGTACGGGAAGTTCCAGCAATTTGACTTAAGGCACGATGCCATACACCACTAGTTTAAACTAATTCTACTGTTTTAAGTTTTTGTTTTTGTCCTGGCTGATTTGCTGAATTATAACACGCATCAAGTATCAAAACGTATGATTAATAATGTTTTATTGTTCAACCCTTTTTTATTTTGACTAATGTGCCGCTAATTATTTTAAATATGATTAATATGTTTCAACATCGAAAAAACTATCAAGCAAATAAATGCAACATATTTAACATTGTTATTTATTGACGTAGAAAGATAAATCGATGTGTATGCCAAATGTCATATCATAATTCAAAGTAACAATGTTGCCATGTGAGGAGAAATGTAGCGCTCACGAAAAGCGAGTCAAGAACTATCAAAACCCAACTGAACGAGGCGAATGAAGTGAATGCCGTCATTGTTGCATTGTTATGTGTTCGAGTGTACGAAAGAAGTTTGTACAGTGGCTTGTTTGCATTTTCATTGTTTTTGACGCGAAAAATAAAACTACAATGCTGTGACATATATCGTTCAAGTGTCAAATAGCACATAAAACCGTATTTAAATGAAAAACCTCTGTTAACAATAGTTGGCTTGTGGTTGCCTATGTCGTTTACCTATTCCCCTTGTGCAAACCCCGGGTTGTGGGAATGTGTAAGAAAATTAGTAAAATGCTCGGAACGATAAAAATTGTGCAAGTGAAAAATATGTTGATTAATGTTTAATTATTACTGTGAGGTGAATTGATAATTCTGTATGAATTTAAAATTAACGGATTTCAATATGGAAGTGACTGATAGTGATACGAATTCCAGCAATTATAAGGAGACGAATAAAAGTGAACGTAAGTCATATACTTTTTTATTTTCTACTTTATTAAATGGCATGTCTTTATTTAATAGTATATAGTATATTGTCCCAGATGCACTCATTATGATACATGAATACACTTCATGCAAATTAACATAGGTACTTATTTTAGTTTAATCCTTAGGAGAAGGTAATATTCATTATAGCATATTTTAATATATGTATATATATATATATATATATATATATATATATATCGTTTGTTTTAGATTCATTGAGCATTTTCGTAAAATTCCTTATAATTATCTCTTTAATTAAAAATTGCACATATACACATATTTATAATTTAATTGCTATATGCGTGTGTATGTATATATGTATCAAAAAATATCTTGTGACAAGTAAATACGAATCTTTCATACCTAAATATTAGAGTTCAAAATCAACTTTTATTATATTGCCATTTGTAATTAATGAGTTAGTGATAATGATAAGCTACGTTTTGCGAATGTATGTATATTGGCAATGTTTAAATAATGAGTATAAATTCAGGAATGTTTAAGGGTCTTCGACAGTGGTATAAGTATAATCTATTTTAGCGTCTACCTGTTTGATGCAAAATGTATGCATCGGACATGACGCATACTCATACATTTTACTGTCTAGTTGTACAAAAAACAACTTACACAGGTGTGTTGAACCACTGCCTGAGTGACCGTGCATACCTTTTCGTTTCCACGCTTTGCGAACATAGACGTAAAGCATAAATTATTAGCCCGAGACTAATGATCGAAAATCTGAGGCCATCAATATAAACACCATAAAACCATAATCTAAATGTTTATAAATACTTTTTCACTTCAAAATTTATTTTATCATACTCTTAATCAACTTTTGTTGCATTTTTATCAAACCACGTCCGTTTTTAACTGTAAATTTTAAGATCCGCCTTTCTCAAAATATATTTCATTATCCTTCAAATATATTTCATTACCCTTCCGCTTTTTTGCTCTTGGTTTATAATACAAAAAGGCGGAAGGGAGATATTTTACAACCTTATATTTTACAAAAACATAAAACTAGTGGTGCATGGCATCGTGCCTTAAGGCAAATTGCTAGATCTTCCCGTTTCGATGAAATATTCAAGAAATTTCAAATGTTTTCAAATAGATTGTTATATTGTAACTTTCATTATTCGCATTTTGTAAACAAAACGCTTTTGTGGCTCATAAATTAGATGACGCGATTTATGACATTTATTATTATATGTTTACATGAAAAGTAAATAAACAAAACTTAATCAAACGGAGTTGGAATGAAAGATCTTACATCATATTTCTAAGAATTATATAAACTGTATTGAACAGTTAAAACTATTTATTGCAAGTATATAAGTGAGCTTTAGAATATTTAATTTAAATTAATATTCAAACAATTTTCGATATCGATTTTTTTTTTTATTTAAAAAAAATAGTTTTAAATTTTGAAATCAATAATTTTTTGCCTTCTTAAAAAACTAATTTTTTTTGTTTATCATATAGCCCACAGAGTAGCTCCAGGAGGACTTAAAAATACAATTTTAATAATACATATTATAATAATACAAGTATACTAATAAATGATATAACAACACATAACATAATATAGTTCATACTTCATAACATAACACAAAATAAAAAAAAACTATCAAATTCTTAACGGTAAAACTAAATTATATATGATGGAAATAACAAATTCGTGACAAAATATCAAGATTAACTTGTACAGATGATAATTAATTGTTTTACTGAAGTATTGTGAATATCGATATTTTTATTAAATGAGTTGAAATTAGACTAATCCTTTCTTCAAATTGTCAACGCAAGCAAAAAGTTTTTTCAATCATTCAAATCAGATGCTTCGTTCTCTCAAAAACTGTCATTTTTTGCACTTTTAGCTCTGTATCTCCGAAACGGCTCCACCTACCTTTGCCAAAAACTAATTTGGACGTCTCTCCATCATTACAAATTCATTGTTTTTTTAATAATTCAAAAAGGCTAATCGGTGCTCCCGAAATTGTTGGATAAAAAAATTGTGTCCGCACATACATACTTACTTACCACACAAAGACGCACACAAGCATACATCAATTTTTTCTAAGATATGCCAAAATGTTCAGAAACCTTCGAAACGTAAAGATATATTGCGTTTGAAATCATATTATATATTTTGGTGTCTCGCCCGTAGGTAAGCGGTTAAGAGCGACGGGACTTGTTTCAGAGGTCCCGGGTTCGATCTCCACTTCGAGTAGCCTGTTGTCAGGCAGCAGTGACAACGATTTTAACTTGGAAATATAGATAGCAATATGTTTCCAAGTGAAAATAGCCCTTGGCCGTTATTGCAGCACCAATAAAAGTCAGCCCTATTAGATTAATTCTAATAACAAAAATCATCAAATATGGATGGATTAACCATTGGGTTACCATCTAAAAATACGAAGTAAGGAGAAGTTTCAGCCCAACAGCTCATAGGACGTAGGGTTCTGATTGCTGTTAAAAATATAAATTAAGAAAAAATATTATATATTTTCATTTTCGATTTTTGAACGATTACTATAACTTACACTACCTGAAATTAAAACTTAATATTCTATAAAATATAACTTTGTATTATTGATTTATTTATTAATATTAAAAATTAACTGATTTTGTTTACACATTAAAAGAATAGATAGATTATTGTTGTTATAAAGAATAATTTATTGTTGAATTTGAAAAATTGACAGAATAATTAATAATTTTAATTTTTTTTGTTTATTTTATTTGTAATATTAATTAAAATACAGTATCCTATGAGCTAGTTAATTGGCTAAATTTATTCACTCACACTTACAAACATACGTATGAAATTATTGTGCCAGATTTTAATACATATATTAATAATTATCACTCCAATGAGTGATTCACGACTTTTGTTAATTTCTCCAAAAATGCGGTAATGTTGATGGTCTTGAATATATTGTTTAATTGTCTATGGGAAACTTCTTTTTCAGTCATTTCGAGTATTAAATTTACATTAATTTAATTAATATAAATTGATGTTTTGTATGTCTTGATTAGTTTTATTTCAAAAATACTATAACTATATCAAATATTATCAATTATTTGGTTTTACATTTTTGATTTGGTTCGTAATAATTCTTATAAGCTCTTTATTATTTTCAAGCCACATTGTCATTGAACACAGTTGTTTTTTTTGTCAAACTTACAGAACGTTGATGGTACGCTATTCTAGACATGTACATTGTGTTACTGAATACTTTTTTAAATATAAATTTATTAACTTCCCGTAGGGTAAGTTATAGTAATCGCAAAAAAATCGAAAATGAAAATTTTTGCATTTCTCGACGTTTCAAATGTTTCTGAATATTTTGGCATACCTTAGAAAAATGGATGTATGTGTGTTCGAATACAAATTTTCGTCGACGATTTCGAGAACATCGATCAACCGATTTAAATAATTTAAAAAACATTCGATTCGTACTGATGAGGAGACGTGCCTATTAGTTTTTTTTATTAGGCAGCTCTAGCCGTTCCGAAGATACAAGGCAAAAAGTGCCAAAAACGGTAACACGGTTTTTAAGAGAACGGAGCGTCCGATTTTAAAAATTCAAAAAACTTTACTTGTATTGACAAGATGAAGAATTGATCACATTTTCATGAAGGCAGGTCTAGCGGTTTTGGAGATCTAATGAAATAAGTAAAACAAAAAGCCATTTGGCGGTCAAAAATGATCATTAGACATATGCACATCAAATTATCAGATATTTTATAGAGATTTTTACAATAAGTATGAATTTTATTTACATTCCGTACCAATGTTTATCCGTTAGACGGCGACGCGGCGCTTACGCGCTTTGACGAAATTTTGAACTTTTTGCCAAAGCAATCGCACTGCTTTAGCTGCGAATGAGACGAATCATCAAAGCGCCGCGTCGCCGTCTAACGAACAAACGATGTTACGGTATAGAAATGTAAACAAAATTGATACACATTATTAAAATCTCTATAAAAATCTGATAATTTGATGTGCATATTCAGTTCATCTTGTCAATACAAGAAAAATCTTTTCTGAATTATCAAAATCGATTGCTTCGTGCTCTTAAAAACTGATGAAGTACCGCCAAAATGTTCAGAAGGTTTTAAAACGTAAAGATATATAAAAGTTTTTATTTTCGATTTTTTTGCGATTACTATAACGTACCCTACGGGAAGTTAACATGAGTGTAGTGATTTCTTAGTGTTGAGATCGCAATCCCCAAATCTGAGAGATCTAGACGTTCTTCAATCTCCCTTAAAGTTAGGGATTTGTGGCTATATCTACTATTACTATGTGTTTAGTATTCTGTTCTGCTTAGACTGGTGTTCTGTTCAGTCCATATCAAAGTAATTACAGCAATTATGATTACTACTACTATTAATTGCATCAATTTGACTGAAAATTGATTAAGAATATTACTATTCATCTGCAATTAAGCACACGATTTGAAATTCTTTAAATAAATAAATAAGCATATAAAAATATAGATAAAAATAGGAGAAATACAAACTAAAGATAAATATAAAACTATTATTCGTTTCTTTAAAAATAGCTTAACTTACGCATCCTTGCTAGTCGGCTGTTTAATTGATTGTAGTACTGACAAGAACAGATCAAAACAAGCCTGCAAACGACGAGCTTGATAATATGGAAAATTTCGTTTTAAATTACATACTGTTATTTTTTTCTTTTATTTTTTGAGTTTCCAAAATTTATTTTCACGCTCTAAACGAGTTTTTTACTTTTGAAGTTAAATTCTAAACTTTAATCTGGGTTTTGTTCTGTATGTTTTGAACTTAAATCTATCTAGGGGCTGTGAATTTTGTGCAAATTTTCAGAAAATTTGAAACATCTTGCGTTTATTATTTCTTATGTTTAACAACAACATAAGAAAATTCAAAGCTTTATAAAACTTCACATTTTTGTTATAATTATCTAGTATTAATTAAATATAAT